CAGTGCGTCAAATCGACGCCAGCATTTCGCTCCGCCTTCTCGATTTTCGGTCGTTATAGAGAACGCTGTCGTCAGCAAACACGAACGGTGGTGTAGTGTGCCGCCGTCGACTTCACTTGCCCATGTCTTTCCCTTCCAGTACGCATGAACCGTTCGTCGAAGAGCGGCGCTCTGAAATGATTTGGGCGAGATGGTGTGCCCGGTCTGTCTTGACCCCCATTCTGACGTCGTATGATGACTCTCTTGAGATGGTGAGATGCTGGTTGGAAAGTTTGCTGTACGAGCTCACGCACAAGAAACGTTGACGTACTGAGTAGGTGACGTCCCTGGTTGCCCATAGCCTCGATGACCGCTTCTGTCTCCACAGAGTCGAAGGCCTTCTTCAAGTCGATGAACTGTGACAAAAGCGCATCTTGTACTCTCGTGACCACTCAATGAAGTCTTGTAACCGTGTGGATCATGGTCCGAGTCGTGCTGAACCCTGCTTCGAAGCCCTGCTAGAGTTTCGCGATAGCTGTCCTTCGTCCAGTAGTTCTGCCGAGGAATGACTCGAGTGAATAGTTTAATTAGATTGCAGACAGCAGGTAGATTGGCGATAATTGGCCAATGTCGTTAAGGTCTCCCTCTTGTACATGCAACAGGTTCCTGCCAATGTTTTCCACCGGAGTGGTACTGCTTGCTTCCGACAGGTAGCCGCGGTGAACCCGAGTCGAGCCAGAGTTTTGGATGATAATGGCGCGCATTCTTCAGGTGTTCCGGATTTGACCAAAATGTGAGACCGGGTTCTGTACGATTTTTCAAAACAACCGACTTGATGGGCGTTCGGACTTCGGAAAGTAGTTGAGGGGACGACGCATTCCATTCTGTTGTCAGTTGCTAAGTGGGCAGATGGGCAGGGACTATCGAAGAAATCCGAGAAAGAACCGTCGTGGATGATTTTCTCTCATTGCCTTCGGGATGCAGTAAGCTTGTTCATCCGGACATCGGAGGCAGGTCATCTGTCTTGTACTGGCAAAGATTCGGCGGGCATTGCGATGCTCCTCCCAGCCTCTGCTGGCTTCAGCTAAAACTGACTGCCTTCGCTCCTGAGACATCTTCTTTAAGTCGCGCTCTCTGCATAACAAGCTTCGCAAAAGCTCAGGGACGTGAGTTTGGTATTGCCTGCAGCTCTGTGTCGGCTCCACGTTGGCGTATCAGCTTCAAGAGTTTCCGTAGTACCGACGTCCTTTTGGTACACTTGCAACTCTCTGCCTTCCTCCACTTCATGAAGGGTTCGAGCCCGATGATATTTCCCTGCTCGATTTCTCCATAAAGCTGACAAGAGAAGTGAAGTGATCCCAGTTGATTCTGTCTCTGGACTGTCGCTTCCTGAACTTTGAGGCTCCGCCTCTCAACAGCGCATCAAAAAGTGGCAACTTGCCGCGGCGGAGTACGATGGTTCGATCCGTGTAGGAACTTCAGAAACACCAACGAGGACGTCGGTCAGGCATGGATGTGTCTATCTCGGTTATGAACGGCCATCAGGTGACTCCCAAGTCAACGAAGGTGAGACGGCTTCTGAATCTGGAAACCTGCGAGTTACCATGGATGGTGTTGGTCGATCATGCATAAACTCAACAGTCTTTCGCGCCTGCTCATATCCAATCCCATTCCGTGAGTACGCGGATGTTAAAGTTCTATCCGCCGTTGACTTCGTGGCGCAATCTTGGCGTTAAGTCGCCAGACGATGAATTCCTTAGAAAGAAGAGTACTGATCTTCTTTGTAGAACTTCCAAATTCCATATAAAATGCTTCGTGTTATTCCTCCGTCGTAGGCTCGATGTTGTGCGTAGGCGACCGAAGATTGTCAAAGCAGGAGTTTGATCTTCTTCTAATCTGCAAACGTCCGATTCGGTCGTTTAGGCCCTTTTCGGTCCGAATCGAGTTTATGGCCAATGCGTGTTGAAGACACCCAAAACACCCCACCAACGCCTCTGTTGTCGCATGTTCCAGGAACAGCTTCTTGCTCACAGTATCGAATACGCGTGTAGGACTACAGTGCGGTGCCTTCTCGTCTCGGTCAGCTCCGATGACGTCTACTTGTATCTTCCTAGCGTTGCAATTCATCATGTCTTCGATGTGAGGCTCGATGCAACGTCCTTGCGGTTGAACGTACCAGATGCTGCCCATCATTAGTCCTTCTTCGTTTAGGCAGCCATCCGGGCCCGCTGAGATTCTAGCAGCTCTCCCCGAGCGGTCCCTAACCAAACGCTGCCTGTATTGGGAAGCTCCCTCAGATTCAGGGGAATGAGGCCCTATTAAAATTTGCTGTTTTGGCATATTGATATGCACCCGAGTGCTTGCCGGGCTCTGTCGTGTAGGCTAGGATAGACCTCCAGGTAGTTAGCCACGTTAAAAAAAATTATCCCTGAGCGGAACAAGGGGCTTATTTTTGGAGCGGCGCCGAACAGACCTCCCATGTTACTCCTCCAGTCACTTGGAATGGCAAGTTTTCGGCATGTGCCGACATGCAAGACGATACCCCATCGCAACAGCACGACAGAGCGCACACCACGCAAGACATGCACTGATACACCTTGTAGGAGAAGCTGTATGAAGTGACAC